AGAGAGAGAGAGAGAGAGAGAGAGAGAGAGAGAGAGAGAGAGAGAGAGAGGGAGAGATCTATTAAGAACAAAAGTACTTTTCTCAAAAAGCAAGGCTCTTTACTGCTCCTGTGATCGTGGGTGCTTTCGGCTATTGAGATCAGTGTCCTGCTCCACACTATATAAAACATTTTGAGGGAGAATGACTGCATCAGCCTGCATGGGTCACCCATCCAGCACTGAATAATCAATGACTTGTTCTTGGAAGTAGGAAGGGAGCTACCCTGTAAGTTTACTGGGGTGAATCGAGACTGCAGGGGATATGAGTATATTTAATCCTATAGAACTTACTGGACACACTATACCAAGGAAAAGGTACGGGTAGCTCCCCCTCCCTTGTAAAGTGACAGACAGCTAACACAGTGATGGCATGGTCCCACACCAACCTGTCCTCTGCTGCCAAGGACCAAGGGTGCCATGGTTGCTCTTACAGCTCCCTGAGCCCCCTGCTGCTCTCGCAGCCTATGGCTGGGATGGCCTGCCTGTCTGTCCCCTATCTGGACCTGGACTTGACCTATCCAGTTCCAGTTCCTGATGCACTTCTGCTCTTGAACCCCGCTTCAGCCTTTCATCCAGCACTTGAGCTCTGCAGCTTCACTTGGAACCTGACAACAGCCCCTCCTCCTAGCTTTCCACTGGTTTGTTTTCAATACAATCTTTTTCTCCACCCACTTCTGAACCCTCCTGAACTCTGCTGCAGCCTCTTTAACCTGCTTGCATTCTGACCCATTTACATACATCTGCAGATGCATGCATACATGTATCTATCTATCCATATGTACATACATATGTGCTGTGTGATGAGAGTTAATATTAGTAATTAATATTGGAATAAAGAACCGGCATTCACCTCAGCCAGGCTTCCAATGAAGGCAGATTATACGATAAATCAACCACTAAACCTTGTGAGTTTGTTATCAAATTCTGACATCGTGGAAGGATAATCTCAGAATCCGCACAGTGCACACATGACGTCAGGCACTCAGCAGAGCCTGCCTCCCATTTGCAGTCTCGGCATAGTTGAGGGAGCCTGGGGCTTGGATCTGTAGGGTCTGAGTTTTTGGTGTTGAGCAGGGCTTTGTCATGAGACTTTGTGGGTTTCTCAAAGCAAGTCAGGACACTGGTGGCGAGTGGGGCAGACACTGGAGGAGGAGTGTGTCTGAAAAGCCACTGGTAGGGCAGCTACAGTAACACCTCAGATGCTACGAGCACTTCCTGTGCTTGCAGAAGACTGGGCCTCAGCTCTCAGGGTCCACATGGTGGCTCACAACTGTTAATAATTCCAGTTCCAGGGGACCTGATGCCCTCTTTTGACCTCCATGGGCACCAGGCATTCAGGTATCTACATACAGGTAGGCAAAACACGCACACACATAAGATAATTTTTAAATCTTATTTTAAAGAGAGCCACTAGGAAGGGGACAATTTTCCCCCCACCCAGTCATTCCTCCCCACTCACTTCCCTTCCCCCCACTCACTTCCCCTCCCCCTACCCATTGACTTCCCTCCCCCACTTACTCCCCCCACACTCATTTCCTTTCTCTTACCCACTCATTTCCCTCCCCCCACTCATTTTCCTTCCCCCTACCCACTCATTTCCCTTCCTGGCCTCATATTTCCAAGATCCCAGAGATTATATTTCCCCTCATTCTGTTACCTATACTCTGGCTTTTTCTGAGCTCGTTTCAGGAAAATTGAGGAGCCTACAGTGATGGGATTGAGGAAGGATGGATGGGTAAAGCTGCTGAGACAGAGTAGCTGAGTAACAACAGACAGGAAGACCCTCAGGCCAGGAGTCATCCAACTGCTGCTGACAAAATCAAATGGAGACCTGTGCTACCTAGGCACAGGTACATGTATGCTTGCTTACACATGCATGTCTGGGCAATTACTTGATCTCCATGCTAATTCAGAGAGTGGATGGGAGTGTGTGTCACTTCAGTCTCTTCCTTGTACTTTGATAATCATCTGATTTCTACATTAAGCTTTATTACTTTCATAATAAAAAATAAATCTGGAAATCGGGTTGCATTTGCTGTATTACAATTTACAAATTATATATATATATATATATATATATATATATATATATATATATATATACCAGGCCCTTCAGTCAAAACTAGTAGCCCCTGAAAAGCCTACAGTATACAAACACTTGACAGTAAGTATTTAAGATAACTAGTCATCCATCCATCCATCCATCCATCCATCCACCCAAACATTTGTGCCAGACACTAAGCAAACCTAATACAAACTTAAGCTTCCTACTCTAGACTGAGAACAGGTCTTCATGCAAATGTGAGCTCTGGAGTAACTGGAAGGAGATGGGGAGGCATCAGGGAGCAGGCTGGGAGGCAAACTGATCATGGTTTTTGCCCATCACTAAGTGCATTGTTAAACCCAGAGAAAGCTGTACCCATTCAGCTTTCTTGCTTTGCGAGCACCCTCTGAGCAGCTGAAGTCTGGAGAGGAGGTCTCTGCCATTGCTTGGAAACCTTGGCGGTCAGTACCTGGCTCTACGTTTTCTAGGAGAGTTCTGACCTGAGGTTCCTGTGACAGCGCTGCTGTTGCTCTGTGGCTGTTCCAAATCGATGAGCAGCTCCTCGGGATCATTCTCACTGGCAGGGACCCTCTCAGCCTCCTTTCCACTGAGGTCCAGGGCAGCAGCAGGCCCCCGGATGACCTCTTTTGAGACATAGCAGCATGCCAGGCCCACCTCCTGCTCCAAGGCCGTTCGAGTTAAATAGCTTGAGTCAATTAACCGCAGATCACAGTACTTTAAGGACCTGTACAGAAGGAACCATGTTGGTGGCACATCCCTCCAACACAGAACACTTAGGCATGCCTGAAGGTTCTGTGATCCGTGGGTCAGTGAAGACCACAGGTTACAGTGTTGGCTAGATCTGCTCTAAATCTCAGCTCTGTCACCACCCACCTGGCCACGTTTCCCTGTGCTTCACTTCCCCTGTGTCCCTGAAGTATAAAATACAGAGGACAGGGGACTAGAGATGTAGTTCAATGGCAGAAGATGTGTGTAGCATGTATGAGGCCCTGGGTTTCAGCTCCAGTGAAACTAAAAAGCAAAAGCCAAAGGATAAGTATAAAAGGCTGGCTTATAAGGTTGATGCAAGGGAAGAGGCATAGTACAAGAAAGCATTTAGTGTATGGCTGACACACACAGTAAACAGTGATGCTTTTATTGCTATTGCCTTCCAATCCCTAGGTCCTCCAGGAGTTTGAAACATCAGATTAACAAAGACAAAGTGCTTTAAATTCTATCTATCTATCTATCTATCTATCTATCTATCCATCCATCCATCTAGC